AAAAAAAATATTATACACAATCTATTTTTCAAGGGATTGAGCCAAATATAAGACATACAGGGTGGGGCAAAAAGTAGGTTTACAGTTGTATGTGAAACATAGATTATTCTTGTATTATTATTAGTTATTGCATTATTTTCCATACAGACAACTGTAAATCTACTTTGGCTCCACCTGCATTTAAGGCTATAATTAAAGTGAAGACGACATAAACAATGTAACATAAGAAATGGCTGGCGAACACTTATAGAACATATTTGTTAAGCCTACATAAGCCCTTTTTTGAAACACTGGCTAAAAATAAATCCTCACATGACTGAGAAGAGAAAAACAAAAATCATACCTCAAAAAGTAAAATAAGCCCTGACTGGTTTGGCTCAGTGGATCCAGGTTTGATTCTGGTCAAGGGCATGTACATTGGTTGCGGGCACATCCCCAGTAGGAAGTGTGCAGGAGGCAGCTAATTGATGTTTCTCTCATCGATGTTTCTAACTCTCTATCTCTCTCCCTTCCTCTCTGTAAAAAATCAATAAAATATATATTTTTTTAAAAAGTAAAATAAATTCCTCATTTTGAGTTCAATCATAGAAAAATTTATACTGAAGATCAATCAGTATACTTTGGCAACAACACTTTCTCCAAGATCAGACAATATCCAATATCTCTGTCCTAAAACCAGTAAGACCCTTTTAGATACTACACCAGAAAATATTCAGAATGATACCATATCAAAAAGATTTAATCTCCAAATTGCTTCAACTACTTGAAATGCCAAGCAACTGAATCTAGGCCATGCTTGGATACTCCCACTCAAAAAGGGTGATGACAGCTTGCACTACCAAAAATCAAATCTAAATTTAAACCTAGAAAATAAAGAGCTGATTTTTCTTCTAATTCATCACTAAGGATATCCCAAGGAATAATGAGAAATAAACTCCTTTGAGAAATGTCCATATCTGAAGGTTACATACATATATAAAGACATCTCAAACATGACAAACCATTTATTGCCTTTACTTTTAGAGAGAATCATTTAATATATTTACTAACTTGCTACCATGATGCAAAAGTACATCTGTGTTCTGAATAGTTTTGGTTGGTGTTAGAGGCTCATTTTATTATTATACTTTTGTATGTGTTTAAAATTTCTCTTAATAACAACTAAATAATAAATAAAAAGAAAAATCAGAGATGGGGGAAAAAAAGACAAAATGCAAAATCATAAGAGCCTAGTAAGAAGAATTTTATGGAGTAGCCAGAAGTTTCAATTTCTATAGGGAAGTCATGAATGTTGATGATAATGTTGGTAAGTAAGAAATACTAAACATTAAAAGTAGAGAATACAAAATTTGTGATTTTAGCAAGTTCCTTAAATATAACTGCCTTAAATATGTATTTAATAAAATATAGGTTGAATGAGATGTTCATTCCACTTAAAAATATACCAAGAATTATTAAAACAAAACACACACAAAAATGTTGCGCTACTATGTTCAAGGTTTACAGGGCAAGCGGAAGTATATTTAAGAAACTAGAGTATAAGAGCAAAATTATCCCCCCAAAAGGCCAGAAAACAAATTCTGAATGAGGACTGAAGCACTAGGTTACTTTGGGCTATTTCTAATTACTGAGAATTTTAACAAAACAGAGTTGATACTTGCTTCCACTTCAGCCATGAATGCCTCCAAGGGATCATCATCGCTGTCAGAATCTGCTGGCTTGGAACGGAATTGCTGGCGGGTAGGGGAGTTTTCAGCAGGGATGTAAGGTAAATCAACATTGCTAGAGTCTTCTTCCTCATCTTCAAAGTATCTGAAAATTAAGATGTGTGACTGGTAAAGTGAATGTTTAGTTTGGGGTCAATGAATCTTTCATTTAACAGAAATGTTTATTATGATATATGTTACTATTGAGAGATTTAAACTACACAGGTCAAATTAGAGACCTTCAGGCTTTGTCTAAAGACTTCAGTATTACTTAATAATGCAAAAAGTCACAGCAGATTCTCCATTTTAATAGCGTCTGTTCAAATCAATTTCCAGTTGTTAGGTTTTCAGTACAAATTTAGTATATTATTGTTGAATAGATACAGCAAATATAAAGAATGTATGCTATGGGAAAAATTACTTTCAAATGAAATATTAAAAACCTTTAAAATTTTTTTATAATCCTTTAAAATGTCTTAGAGACATATTCATAAGGGTAGGGACTTCCATCAGAAGTGCTGGGCTATTTCCTGAGGACCAACAGAAAACTTCTAGAACAGTAGTTCTCAACCTGTGGATCGCGACCCCTTGGGGGTTGAAAGATCCTTTCACAGGGGTCGCCTAAGACCATCGGAAAACACATATTTTCGATGGTCTTAGGAACCGAGACACAGCTCCTCTATCTGTCTCCAGGCGGGTCCATCCACATGCAGATACGCCCACATACGAGTACACGGCATGATGACACCATCATGCCAACCCCATCACATACACCCTGTACAAATACAGGTGTATGTGACAAGGCTGGCACCATAATGTACTTATGCAGACCAGTCACAAATGTGTAAAGAGCAGCTACTGTGTTGAACGCAGCAATACTGGAGGTAAAACGACACTTCATGAATTATAATTACTGGGTAAATGTAAAATCAGCAACTATTGCAAAAAAAAAAAAATCTGTACCACAGGAACTTAATCTGGATGCTGATCGGTCTT